CACAACATGAACATATTGCTTTGAGTGAACTGCTCATCTTTGCACGAAAAGAGACAAAAAATGACAAGACTCGTAGCCTCCTACTGTAGTAGACCTACCTTCCTCGGCCTAGGGCTACTTGAATTCGCTTTGGGAGCTTCCCCCCTTCATTATTGAAGCTGGTTTCAATCATTTTTTTATTTTATAAGTGAGGGAAAATATCTGAGAAATTTCACCGAATATAGCCATTATATTTAAAACACTTTCAGGTCAGTAAATGGCCTAATGGAATGCAGGTAGTAACGTTATTTCTGTTACGAATGACCTCATATAAAAAATGTATATACAAATGGTCCAATGGGGAGATTAAAAATACAGGATGTTTTTAATACCGGAGTGCATAACAGACCTTGGGTTTTTGAAGGTCCTTTCTAAACCCCGATCTGTACACAGTCAACAGGCTTGGTCTACGTACGTGCGTCAGCCCATCACTGGAAAGTATCAAAAGCAAAACACTGAACTCTACTAGAAGACGCTTCTGGATTATTGCCTGATCTCGATATCTACAACATGGCTGTCCAAAGAAGTGTCAAATTGATACTTGTGATTACACTGATTGGAATTATTCAAATAGGTTGATAATATTGGTTTATATCAGATGGATGGAACATGTATCAAGTATTCTTTTTAAATAATTCTTCCGATCATCCACTATGATTTAACAAAATTACACAGGCCTTTATACTACTATCTGTAATTAGCATTGCATGAAGATATGTACTCAACAGCGCCTGTAACATCAATGAGGCGACAATAATTATAGCAAAAATCATGAAAATTTACTGCCGGTGTACCATGAAAATCTGACTCGCCTAAATGTGAATCCCCAGTCAGATTTTTATTTAAAAAGTCAAACTTTCATGATGAAAATGTGACTCCCCCTGTAAAATTTTGACTCCTCCCCTCCCATAAACTTTATAAATCTTATTTTATTTGAGCGTATGACTTTTATCTTGTAGTATGCATAATGGAGGATACATTGACACTTTTTGTTATTCTGCCGGTGAAAATTTTCATGAGAAAATAAAATTAAAAATGTGTATTTTACCACCCAATGACTCCCCGATGAAAAAGCTATTTATTTGATATTTGTTTATCATTTCAACATCTTTCCTTTTAGTATACTTTATGAAGAATATATTGGAAATTTTTGAAAGTTTGATGGTAAAATACTGCTCTTGGTCTTTTTCCTTTATAACACACGTTGTTTTCTCCATCTGCTATTATTCTTCCTACATTCCTGTCCTTTTATTCATATTAACATATTGGTACATACTAACCGCAAATAATTTGAAAAATTTTAAGAAACTTTTATAAACTTTTATAACTTTGTCTTAATAATACCCTAGCTGCTCCAGAAGGCGTGTCAGACATGTACGTTTAAGCTCATTCGAAACTGCACTTTGGGAGAATTCCCTGCAGGGTTGGACGATGGGTCCACCTGAATGCGGTCTTGTGTATTTTGGCGTCGACAGTGCCAAACTGCTTTTTTTTTTTTTTTCAAATATGCCCAACGGTTTTGTATGTTAATTAAGCAGGTTCCTTTCGAAAATCAGCATGATCTAATTAGATTTATTTATCTTTTTATTCATCTATTTATTTATATTTGAAAATGTTGTTGCAATATTTTTGCTGTTTAATGTCTGTATATTTTCAGTTTTTGCTGTGTAGTTAATTTTCTTTGCAATTGTGTGTGGATTCTTCAAACATTAATGTTTTGCTTTTACCAAATCAGTGCTTTGCTTGACCGTCCCTTTTTTAGAGAGATTCATACTTCCTCTATTCTTGGAAAGGCAGAATAGAATGCATCATAATTACCAATTATCAAGTCACAGAGTAGGCCTATTTGTCTGATGTGACTGGTCGAGGACCATCCAGCCTTGTTAAAATTACTTGCAATTTAATATGACACGACATCCTTTATTATTATCACGGTCAGTCATCAGTATGTAAATATCTTTTGGGTGTTTCATTGCCAATCCATTCTTACCGATACAGTCTTATTCACTTCACGGTACTACATTATGCAATCTTTCCATTGCAAATTAATAAGGTCTTATTAATTTTTAGGTTCGGGAGAATATTGCTGCGCATATTACACGTCCTATGGCAGTTACAGAAGCTCCTGTTTCAAGTACTGCTGCGGGACATATATCAGTAAATACTGCTGTTCCTCGTACTCAAGCAGATATTTTAGGAGTTACACCTATCTTTCCTCGTGCCCCACCCCCTCAAAAAACTGGAAAACTTCTTCAGGCACTATAAATGTGTACGTACATTTTTTCTTTCAAAAATGTCTAGAGCTGATCTCTGTAAGTGTGAATCGTTGCATATTCGTTAGCATGTTCTTCTATTTGTACTCGATAGAGTTTTAACGTGCTTTAGTGCTCGTGTTCGTTATTTCTAAAAGAGTATATATGCGCTGCTCTCGATCCTCATCTACCATTTTATATTAGGGGAGAGCGGGGTGGGTTGGAACGCGGGTAAGTTGGAACATTGGCTTTATTTCTTAAATCACAAGACCGATCATGTGCTCCTTCAGCATAAAAATGTCATGTGGCATGGTCATTCATCTGGTAAACTTGTGGAAGTTTCGAAAATGCATTAAAAGTTTTATGCGAAAAAAACTTATTTTCGCTACTCGAAGTAAGTTTTCATATTTTTGACATTCATCGTGCTGTAAACTAAAGTATAAGGATTATATCACTGAAATTGTGCAAAGCGTTTAGGACCACCTTGATGTTCAAAAAGCTGTTGTTTTTTTTAATCACTTCCCACGTGTTAAAGAAATACAGTGTCATAAGTAGGCCATGACGTCATGGGGGCTGGTCGGAACATTTGACATGGGGCCAGTTGGAACACTGTCAGGGGTGTTCCAACCCACCCCGCACGGTGTTTTTCATTTTTTNTTGAGCATTTATTACTCAAAAATAAAAAGACCTACTTGATGTTTTATTTCATAGATGAGTGCGGCATATAATTTTCCCCTATCAGATTTTTTATTTTTGTCCCCAAAGCTTTGACTGCTGAGATATCGCAAAAAAGGTGAAAACTGTTCCAACCAACCCCGCTCTCCCCTAATTATCATCGTAGTAGCGGATTTAGGAATGGTACCAGGGTGGTCCTGACCCCCCCCCCTTCAGTTTCTAGAAAAATCACACCAATATCCCCCCTCTTGTTATTAGAATTTTAAAAAGCTGAATTATACAGTAGTTCTAAACTGCACCGAATTGTACTGTTTGCCCTCCAAAACACCGAACCTCACATGAGGGGGCAAGGAGCGGCTTCGCATCCGAGGCCTGTCATTCTTAAAAAATGGACCACCCCCTTTAAATAACCCTGGATCCGCCCCTGCATCGTGTATTTTTTTTCAGAGTCGGTGCCATAGTAGGCTCTGTAGTCGGTTTCATTGCCCTGTGTGTCATCATAGGAGTCGTCATCTGCTGCGCAACCGGATGTTGTGGACAAAGGAGAGGAACGGGTGAGTTGTACGAACGCATTTGTTATATTAGCAAGACAAAGAGCTGATACTGGTAGATTACTGGAACTCTGGGAGGCTGCCTGGCAAGCATAGTACACAGGGTCCGATATTGTTGAAGACGCTGTTAGCATGTGCCCGTAGCCAAACAGGTCGAGTCCTAAAGCAGCGTTCCATTTACCATTAGTGTGTTAGTTGTGACATACAGGCATTCGTTTTTGAGATAAGATATGCATAAATTGAGCATCATAAAACGAAAAACAAAAAAGAGCAAATAAAATGTCCAAAAGCTTGGTAGTTGGATCATAAATGAAAATTATCAAACACAAGCCGAAATATTTTCATACCGTTAGCGTTTGTGTTTGATAATTTTCATTTACGAAAAACGAAAAATTATGCAATATTTTACAAAGACAAGGTGTCCACAAATCAAATGAATTGCGAACTGTAAGATCGCTCATATGCCTTGTCCATATTTGGCAGAACATAATAGGCCTATATACCTTCGTAATTTCTGCAGTGCCATCAAATCACATACATCTATTGTATGCAAAGATACCGATATGATAAAAAAATACGAAACACTGTTAACGTCAATTAAAATGTAAATTTATTTACAGTAAATAACCCCCCTGGCAGTGCTGCAGTCGTGTATACCACATCAGCCGCAGCGCAAGGTTCCCCAGTCGTGGTCACACGACCGCCGACACAAAATCCTGGGTATGGATACCTCAAGAGATACCTCAAGTGAACGGCGCTGCAGTTCCTGGCTTTCGAACACCAAATGTAGGGTTGAAAACTGGACTGAGCGTTCTGAAAGCAGGGTTAGGATTATTTTCCGATTCAGGATTGGAGATACATGTACCCTCATCGGAAGAGACTTTTTAATGATTGGCACGCGCATGCCATGGTTTCCCTTGCATTATCACAATCAAGAGAGTTTGTGATTCTTCGAATAGAAATTAATGGGATAATTCTTATATTAATTGTATATAATAATAGTCGGATACACTCTTAGGTTATCCAAGGAAGTGCCTCCAGTTTGTATACACTAAATGTACTCCTTTAAAGACTTTTAATTGTTGCTTAGTAGGCCTACTGTAAAAAATTAAATAGAAGGAAAATGTATTTAGTGAAAGTCTAGTGTGTCAAGACAATTTTATTTGCGTCTTTAAACATATGACAGTACGTACATGTAGGCTAGGGCAGAAAGGCCCTTTTTTCTATCGTTATAATTTCAGTAATGTGCGTATATAAATCAAGAAAATACTGTATATAGGCCTACTTCGTACATCAAATTAATCATGAAATGATTATGCAATAAAGCAGACTTACATTGTGAAAAAGATACGTTCCATACCCACAGGTCAATGTTATGCACATTGCAAAGCGTCCTCTTTCTGATTGCGACATAAATAAAAACTGCTGACCTACTAACCAGACACACCTGTTTTTGTCCATGTATAATACTGCATGACCCATTTGCTGAGCGCGAGACCAAGCTTACAGGGGCTACATCAGTAGACTTACTCCACGTTTTTCACGGCGCATAAGGGTAGTCTAGTACACCGAATTAGGATTTAAGGGTCTAGTAATCATACCTAAATAGGTCGCAACACTACGGCACCTTTGGATAAAATAAAAGAACTGCAGGTTTCGCTATCAACAACATGGCTGGCCAATTTAAGGCCATTTTGACTTGTTTGTTTACGTTGCTGGCAATCGTACACACAGGTATGTAAAATGGATCTAATATACAGTATAGGCCTACAATGTAGATGCCTCTTTTTCAGCGATAATTATATTAAGTGCCCTATGTTAGGTGAGCCGACATTAAAACTCGCATCTCTACAAATATGTGTTGATACTGCGGATGGTAGGCCTACTGTAGGTCTGCTAATATATCTAGATATTGATCCCATTGTTAAGTGTATAATAGCCGGTGTGACGGGAATGGTAGTCCGCTCCCCATTACTATGTAGGCCTACAGGTGACATTCGGCCCACATACTAACCCCAATACTAACCCTGGAACTTCCATTTCTGGAACGACCATTCCTGTCTCATCTGTCGAAAATGCACCTCGCCACCCCTCACTTAAACTGTTTTTAAGCTGTGTTATTGTGTATTCACTGTAATGTAAATAGGCCTATATACAGTACATCTACTTCCCCGCCAGTTGGAAACTGATCAGGCAAGCAACCCCTGAGTTGTTCGTAGGAGGTAGGCCCTACGTCTATAAAACATCCCCCTGGGGTTAAGAGGAAAGGACACAGGGGGAAAGTGTTTTCTGCATGTAGCTTAAATTCTAGATCTTCAGTATGAAATTACATATTGCTTCTATACAACTACTTTAATTAAATAATGACCTTGCTAGCATTGAGAAAATAGTAGGGGCCTATACATCCTGGATTGTGCAGTGTGTTGAAGGTGACTCATATCTCATCAATTAATTAACGGAGTCGGTCACATCTGCGTTCACCTGTAGTCTGTTTGTAAAATGAATAGGTTAAAGTCATAATAACTCTTCATTTTGGCCAAAAATTGGATTTTCCTGGAGTAAACGGCAATTTTCCCGTACTTACCAATGGTCAGCGACCCCATTCCTGCATTCAAAGTTAATCCAGGGTTTTTTTCCTAAACGTACGGTTTTTTGTTAAAATCTCTTAAGAGATTTTAACTGACGGAGCTCTCTCTGACATCGCATAGTCACTGTTGACCTACTTAAAACCGCGGGAAAAGCAGACAACAACAACACTATATAAGATTCATGAGATATATTCGTCTTTTTGTTAAAAATACATTAATATCCACAATGTGTGCCGTTCTGGGCTTTTTGTTATCCGACGCACTGTACAAAAACTCGCAACTTACGTCTGCGTCCGCATTAATGCGTTTGGCGCCATATGTTATTTTGGTCTCGAATGAACGCGAGAATCCGCGTGACACCATTACGTCATTAGCAACGAATGCCTTGATGAAAGCTTCGAAAGCCCTATTGACAAGCACAGATTTTAGTTTTACTACAATAACGGCCGTTTTAGTGGTAAAATACAATAGAATATATTTCCATGCGTTGTTTACAATGTATTTCATGCGGAATTTTGAATCTCAAAGGAAGAGTTATTATTGCTTTAAGAAAAGTTATAAGTGAGTTATAAGCTGAGGAGTTATGCATATAATAAGTCTACTGTAGGCGTACATGTATATACAACAATGGATGAAAATTTTATCTGTGACCTAAGGCTTTTAATCTTGTAATAGCGGTAGCTTCAATCGGGCACAAAGATGGATTTTTTTAAAAATAATTTAATAAGCCACCGAATATTAGAACTCATTGTATCTAAAAAGTATATGAAAAGGTATGTTGGCTTAGCCTCAGTAAGTTTGCTTATAGTCCTACGTATGTGGGGTCGCTGGCAAACAACAGACCTCCATGGGCTAGCAGTTATGTACAAATTGAGAACAAATTGACCAGTAACGATTTAGTTTTTGTTACTTTTAAGTAAGAAGGATAGCCTAACATGAAAGAGTCAAGGGTATTGAAGTGAGTTTCATATGGGGTTGCTTTCTGGCTTGGTGTCCATACTTTTACTTGAAACTCGTTAAAAACATTATCTTGTACATAGAGTAGATAAAATAATGATTTAGTGTATATGATGCATGTGTGATGATGTTTCCTTGATTAAATATAAAAGTTACATGAAAAAGTTATAAAACAGTATAACTTTGGGAGTAATAATTTGATTAGGTTCTTTTTTTAGCTTAATGCTAATTTTAGCCCATCTTTTTAAATTTTCCAGTGAATGGGGGAGAATATTGCTGCGCATATTACACATCATCTGACAGTTACAGAAACACGTTCTACTGTTCTGAGTACTGCTGCGGGACATCTACCAGTAAATACTGCTGTGACTCGTTCTTTCTCAGTTACTCCCCGAGTTATTCCTTTAGATCGTTATGCCCCGCCGCCACCACTCCAACCACAACAACAGGTTCGTATGCAATTATAGAGTCGATAAAATTTTTCATTTGGTCACTGTACGTGCATATACTGATGCATGTCAACCACTGGCGACGTTAATTGAAACGGTGTGGTGTGAGTTTGACCATTTGGGTTCTGACCTTGAACTTTTCCATGAGCTTTTACTTTTTATTTACAGTAGGTTCAGGAGAATATTGCTGTGCTTATTACACGTTATCTGGCAGTTACAGAAGCTCGTTCTACTGTTCCAAGTACTGCTGCGGGACATCTACCAGTAAATACTGCTGTGACTTGCTCTTTAGCAGATACTCCCCGAGTCCTTCCAGTACTTTGTTCTGCCCCGCAGCCACAAGGCCAACCACAACCACCGGTTCGTATGTAATTAGAATTAAAATTTGTCATTTGGCCAATGTGCGTGTATATATACTGGTTCATTGTTACCTACTATAGACGTTAATTGAAAACGGTGTGGTGGGACCATTTGAGTTCTGACCTTGACTTTTCCATGAGCTTTTTGACCTTCGTATTTACAGTCCCTACGGTAACTTCAGGAGAATATTGCTGCGCATATTACACGACATCTGGCAGTTACAAAAGCTCGTTCCACTGTTCCCAGTTCTGCTGCGGGACATCTACCAGTAAATACTGCTGTTACACGTACTCAAGCAGATATTACAAGAGTTATCCCTCTCTTTTCTCTTGTCCCGCCGCCAGAAACGACTGGAGTAGCTGGAGCAGCTGGACTTCGACTACTACATCAGGCATCATAAATGTGTACGTATATATATTTTTTCTTTCAAATAGTCTGGAGCTGCATGCTTTCTCTCTCTCTCTCTCTCTCTCTCTGAATGTGTGCTATCGCCCGTCTGTTAACTTTTTATTATCGATACATATGTAGGCCTTCAAAAAGTGCTATCAAAATCAATGTTTTGCATAATCCAATGCACTCCAATATAATATATCCGGCTGATTCAGACTGATAATTTTTTTCTAGTACCGGTGCTATAGTAGGCTCTGTAGTCGGTTTCATCGCCCTGTGTGTCATCATAGGAGTTGTCATCTGCTGCGCAACCGGATGCTGTGGGCAAAGAAGAGGAACAGGTAAGAGAGAAGAAACACTCACGTGTGGTCCTGTAGGGGAGGAGGCAGAACAGAAGAAGTATTTGGGATATTCTTAAAGTACATTATGGAGGATGACGAGACGCAGACGGTTGCTAAACGTGGTTTACATGTGGCCCTAGCAAAGGAGGTCGAATTCTAGAAACATCACTGGGCTGCAGAATTCAGCAAAACCTGAATCGAGTAGGCTGCTGTATCATGGAACGCTGAAATCAAACACTGTTTTGTCGTTTCTGTTACAGTGTATGCTATACTGTGTAAAGAGCAACAAAGAGGAAAGAGTTGTAAACCAGACATAATTGCATCTAGAACTACTACATGCACAGTGTAGTATTGGCTGCAGTGAAACGTGAATTTCAATGTGTTTCATGCAAATTATGAGTATTTATTTTTTTATAAGCTGAAGTAGTGACAAAAAGATTAATGTGATTGCTGTTAACTACAGTGGATGCTGTAAATTTCTTTACAGTGACCAGGCCCCCGGGTGATGGCATCGTAATGATGACCACGCCGCCGACAACGCAAGGTTACCCAGTTGGGTACGCCCCACCACCAAATATAGCGTATGGGCCAGGGATACCTCAACCGAATGCGGCTTATGGCCCAGGAACACAGCCACCGTACACAGGGTTTGGGCCAGGAATCCCACCTCCCAATAACGCATTTGGACCAGGATCGCCACCCAATGCAGAGGCAGCACCACTGGATGCCGAGAAAGGAGCCGGAAATGATGCACCCCCTCCCCCATACCCGGGCACAGACGATACTTACACCCCACTCCAACGTTAATTCATCTGGCGCAGGTAGACTTCATTGACTATAGTGTGCGGTGTGACAGGAATGGCAGTCCTTGGAATGGAAGTCTGGGGTCTCATATGATTAGTTGGCCTACAGGTTAGGGTTAGTCGAAATATTGGGGTTAGTTATTGGACTGAATGTCACCTGCACAAAGTAATGGGGAACGGGCTATGGCTCCTAGCGTCACACCAGTTTGTCGCTTATCGCTGAGATGCATTCATGCAGTCTCACCTTTGTGTCCTGTATGACCAAATCTCTACTTCGTTGAAGTAAATTCCTTTTAATATGTGTTTTAAATTAAATTAATGTGAAATGATATATACCTTACTCTGAATGTGTATCCAGAGTTAGGGGCCATTCCCATAAACTATCGTACTAGCAGGATCGATCTATCTCCGAGGGGATTCTCGCTAAACTGCTAAACTAAAATGTGTTTTATATACAGTCTTCTGACAGAAAACAGCCAATTAGTTAACTGGCCAGTGTTTAACTGGATTAAATAATTATTTAAAGGTCAGTTTACTAACAGGCTATTTAGGTCTGGTCAGAGTTAAACACTGGTTAGTGCTAAACGTCCTTTATAAAACTGGGCCCAGACTTTTATCTTTATACATGTATTTATGTATCTTTTCCTATATCTTAAACTGAGTACTAGGCCAGTTTTTAAATTAAATGGAGATATTTTTTTCGTATACTCAAAACTGCTGTGACATTTTTGAACTAAAAAATTAAATCAAGTGATTTAAAAGGTTTTCCAGTTTATATGGTGTATATAGTTACCAAATTATGTAAGTTCTTTTTCATCATTTAAGTGACGTGGATCCCAATTACAAAAATAACGTGTTTCATTAAACTTTTAGTTAAAATTATGAATATTTCTATGCCTTTCTTTATATTCAAGTCATATATTTTTGTTAGTGTGTGTGTGTGTGTGTGTGTGTGTGTGTGTGTGTGTGATTTTTAAACGACATCAATGTCTGGCAGATCCTCTTTTAGTTAGTTTTAGATGTAATATTTTTTGAAAATCTTTTGAATATTAATCTTTATATTTATCTTGCGAACGGTGAAAGAGAATATGTACACCCAAAAAGTTGTAAAGTTTTAACTTCTTGCTACACCTTAACTTACAAGCAACGTATGGTTTTCATAAATAGTACATACAATTTACTTTGAACGCTTAGCTGTTATGAATAATAGTAAAATTGTTATACGGGTTACGAATAGTGGAAATTTCAACTTATGTGAAACATGAGATAATCAAAATGAGATATTATGCAGTACCTACAAAGATAGTTATTATACAAAATTCTATGAAATGGTTTGGGTCAGGGTTTTTAGTGCATGCATATCATCGAGTGAAGTCCACATATTTCACTATTCAAGAATTGTCATGTACTGTATAAACAGGGTAAACACGTATTTTATTTAGTATTTTAAGTACGTGGCGCGTAGTGTGATTAAGGAAGAGGTAGATTTTAAATTAAAAGAAATTAAAAGAAACAGGATTATCATGGGTATATAAGAACGAGCAAATTACATTGAATGCACATTAATTGCGAATAGTACGTGGCGCGCGGTGTGACATATCAGAATGGGTAACAATAGGGAGAAGACTGTGATATGGTAACAAAGAGGTGATGGTCTCTACTGCCGTTGTGACAGGAATGGAAGTCCTAGGAATGGAAGTCCCATATGATTACTACAGGTTAGGGTTATTCTGAGAATTGGGGTTAGTATATGGAACGAACGTCACCTGTACAAAGTAATGAGGAACGAACTACGGCTTCTAGCAGAATGCCATTCCCGTCACACCGGTTTACCCTTCCATATACATACTGTATATACACAAACGTGTATCTAGTTTTTGTATTAACCAGAGCACTCATGTGATTTGTACTTCGAGTTATAGTGTTTTCTGGAAAGTTTCCATTGGAGACGGCAACTAAATGCATACTGGTACTAGTAAAGGTGGGCAAATGAAACCTTTTTCTGGAAATTTCGTTTCAAACAAGTGGATTCTGTGGCCATTTTGGCTGCTGAATACAAATCTAATTATTATTATTTTTTGTTTCAGATTACATCTGATATTGGTATCAAGCGATTTTTCAAAATGGCCACCAAACTCCCCATCAAATCACAGATTTCTCATTTAAATCTTTAAATATTAGTTCAAATATGGCTTGTTATGATCAATAAGAGCAAAATAGATAAATCACTTTTGTTTGGTCATTTCATTTTGGGTAAAAGAGGAATTTTTTGGTCATTTTGAGGTAAAACATCGCCCCTAAATCACCATTTTTGTGTACAAAAATACCAATGTTTATGCAACAGTGACTTGTAAATTGGGGAAAACAATAATACTACAAATATGGTCAATAATATTCAAGGTTCACATGATAGTGTACAGCTTTGCGTTGTAGACTAGTCATAATGATAGTTACATACAGGAATATTTTTAGTCGTACACTCAGTAGCAGAGCATTAAGGACATTGTTACCCTTTATTATCATCCAGATACCAAAAATGATTTTTTTCCTGCATCTAATTATTCAATAATCAATATATCTATATTTGCGCTGGTTTAAAACAATAAAATAAACTCTCGAAAATATGAAAAAAATCGGCGTAAACTTTATATATTTTCGTTGCAATGTATAAGCATAGGCAACTCAAAGCTTTAATCGTCAATTTAACACCTTTTTTTTTAGGTGAGATAGCAATCGGTATGGGGGGGGGGGTAACTTCATCCCTTAACAAGATTTTTTCACGAAAATTAGCATAGTGGACCGCAAGAGCATGAGCTACAATCCCGTTCCATCTTGGTTATGGATTATTGAGCTTGCAATTAATATAATAATATTTTTTTAAAGTCTAAATTCCATACAGATAGATGTCATTTATACCCTAGTCACACTAGAGGCGGAATGAGCTAGAATGTTGTCGGAGAAAATTCCTTGTTTACTCCTGGATATTCGAAGTGCGTTCTAAAAATTCTAAGCAAATTCCAAATGAATGGGCCCATTCTTGCGTCTTGTTTTGCTCATGCTCAAAACTTTCAAAGTGCATTCCAAGTGGATAAATAACGAATGGCATTCGAAGTGTATTCTATCTGCACTTTGAGTTATTAATACTCTTGCGGCATTCCTAATGTGTTCCAACTACATTCGAGCTGCATTTGAGAATGAATACAGCCAAAATGTGCATGAATCATTCCATGCAGGTTCGAAGCACATTCTGAGTATTCCAACGCTATTCTTACAAGAATTAAGGTCAATTTGAAATTTCCCACTGAATGTGGGCAAATTTGGAAAATTCTTCGTTAGGTCTCATTCTGCTTGATTACTGCTGATTCCGAATAAGTGTGACAGGGGGCTTTACAGTGCCTTCTGGTCTCAGCGTATTTCTTAATGATGCTTTCATGGTGGTGGTGAGATACTCTTAAACTACGCAACTGAAACTAAATCCTATTCTAATGTCAAGAGGTTAGAGGTTGTTAGAGGTTGATGCCACCTGACAAAGTTTTACCTGTTCTGAAGAAAAGGAAAATTAGACTTGGTTCCCATATCTTATCGATCCATCTGGATCGGTCTAACTCCCGGGGGGTCTCACTAAATTGCTATCAATTAAACCGTCTTAAATGTCTGTCACGCTTACTCCTAAAGTTAATTGCAATTAAGCGAGAATCNGGGTGACTAGAGGCGGAATGAGCTAGAATGTTGTCGGAGAAAATTCCTTGTTTACTCCTGGATATTCGAAGTGCGTTCTAAAAATTCTAAGCACATTCCAAATGAATGGGCCCATTCTTGCGTCTTGTTTTGCTCATGCTCAAAACTTTCAAAGTGCATTCCAAGTGGATAAATAACGAATGGTAGTGTATTCTATCTGCACTTTGAGTTCTAAATACTCTTGCGGCATTCCTAATGTGTTCCAACTACATTCGAGCTGCATTTGAGAATGAATACACCCAAAATGTGCATGAATCATTCCATGCAGGTTCGAAGCACATTCTGAGTATTCCAACGGTATTCTTACAAGAATTAAGGTCAATTTGAAATTTCCCACTGAATGTGGGCAAATTTGGAAAATTCTTCGTTACGGCTCATTCTGCTTGATTACTGCTGCTTCCGAATAAGTGTGACGGGGGCTTTACAGTGCCTTCTGGTCTCAGCGTATTTCTTAATGAT